TTTATCAATTCATCCCCCACACCCCCCCTCCATGATAGTTTCTCTCTCTTGCTCTCTCCATCGATTCTCTCATCCTTCTCCTCCCCTTCTCCTCCTCCCTCCCTGCCTCCTCCTCCCTGCAGGAGTTTCTCATCTCTACCTATTCACAGCAGCGTTCGACGCTTCTGTGAACGCTGCTGTGAATCACAGTAACGTCGACTACTGTCGATTCACAGCTTTGATGTTCAACGTCGACGCTCAGTGTCGACGCTGCTGTGGTTGTAGGGGGTTGAGGTTTTTTTGTTGGGTACAACAGCTATGTTGTCGAAGGTGATAGGGTTTTTTGGTTGGGCACAACAACTGTGTTGTTGGGTATAGTACGCTGCTGTGTTGTCGGTGGTGATAGGGTGGGCGTGGATCTGTTAGCTGCGATCGAGTGGAGGTGGTGTAGATGGTGCTATGTGGATTTGTTGTGGGTGTGGCTGTGGGAAGCTGTGTGGTGGTATGGCGGCGATGGGATGGTTTTTTTTTTTATTATTATGGCGGTGGTTATGGCGGTATTGTGATGGGGGTGACGATGGTAGTGCTGTTCATGGGGCAATGGTGGTGGTTGGTGGTGTTATTGTTGGTGGGTGTTTTAGGGATTAGGGTCGGTGGCGAATGGGACGAAGTATATGTAACCAACTATTTGGTCGTTCTGCGACCTGTGACAAAGTATTGTTGGTGTATTGGAATTGGAGGACTGGTGCGGCAGATGGGTCGAAGTGTCTGTGACCATCTATCTGGTCGATCTGTGACCTCGAAATATTCCATGACCTACAAAGTTTTTGATCTGTGACCGATAAAAAAATTGATACCTAAAAATTTTAGATTTGTGACCTCGAAATAATCTGTAACTTACAAAATTTTTGATCTGTGATCGGAGAACAGTCGTCGAAGTGCTCGTGGGTCACAGGAGTATTCGTCGGAAGGGGAGGTGGGGTGGGGTGGGGTGGGATAGGATGGGGTGGGTGGGTGGGGTAATTATATTATATTACAATTAAATATTTAATTTAATATAATAATTGTGAAATAT